TGGTCAATCCATCAGGAGGACAAGGCAATCCTGGATGTGTATGCACCAAACAACAGAGCTACAAAATATCTGAAGCAAAACTGGTGAAATTGAGAGGATAAATAGACAAACCTACAATTATAGAGATGTTAGCATTCCTCTTTCAACAACTGGCAGAAACCAGACAGAAAATCAGCAATGATACAGGAAATTCTATAACACCAACAACGAACAGAGTCTAATCAACATTTATGGAACAGTCCACCCAACAACAGCAGAACTCACATTCTTTTCAAGAGCCATAGAACATACACTGAGATAGACCATATCATAGGCCACAAAACAAATATCAACAAATTATAAAGAATTCAAATCCTAAGAGTGTGTTCTCTTACCATAATGAAAGTAAACTAGAAATCAACAACAGAAAGAAAAACAATACATTTCTAAATAATCCACAGCTCAAGAAGATGCCTCAAGAGAAATCAAAAATTACATTGAACTGAGTGATAATGAAAGTACAACATATAAACATTTGTGGGACACAGCTAAAACAATGCTGAGAGGGAAAATTATAGTACTAATGCTTACAATAGAAATGAGGGAAAGTATCATATCAGTAATCTAAACTTCCACCTCAAGAACCCAGGAAAAGAAGGAAAAGTAAACCCAAAATAAATAGAAGAAGGAAATAATAAAAAACAGAAATCAATGAAACCAAAATTTGGTTCTCTTTAAAGATTAATAAAATTGACAAATCTCTAACAAGACTGGCAAAGGAATAAAAGAGAAGCCACAAATTACCAATACCAGAAATTTAAAAAGGGATATCATGACAGACTCTGCATAATACAGGAATACTGCAAATAAGTGTACAAACATAAGTCTGATAATTTACATGCAATGGACCAACTCTTCGAAAAGCACAAAGCACCACAACTAACCCAGTATGAAACAGATAAATTGCATTGTCCAACAATTATTCAGGAAATGATTATTTCATAATTTAAAAATTCATAATTTAAAAGCTCAAAGAAAATCTCCAGCCCTTGATGGTTTCACTAGAGAATTCTTCCAAATGTTTATAGGAGAATTAAAAAAACAATTTTATGCAATCTCCTCCAGAAAACAGAAGAGGAGAGAGCAATCTCAATTCATTTTATGAAGATAATATACCCTGATAGTACACAATGTGAGTATAAGAAAAGAAAACTACAGGCCAATATCACTCATAAAAATACATGTAAAAGTCCTTAAGAAAACACTAGCAAATAGTATTCAGCAATAAATAAAAAGAATTACATACCATGACCAAGTAGAATTTATTCCAGGGATGCAAGTTTAGTTCAATATTTGAAAATCAGTGTAATCTACCATATTAATAGTCTAAAGGAAAAAATATATGATCATATCATTTGATAAGAAAAAGCATTTGACAAAATTCAACACTCATTCATGATAAAAACTCTCAGAAAAGTAAGAATAGAGGGGAACTTCTTCAACTTAATAAAGCTGACATCATACATAATGATGAAACACTACATGCCCTTCCTCAAAGATCAGGAACAAAGCAAAGAAATATGTACTCTTATTCAACATACTACTGGAAGTTGTAGCCATTATAATAAAGCAAGAAAAGGAAATAAAAGGCATACTGATCAGAAAGAAAGAAGACTATCCTTATTTACAGATGACATAATTGTCTACATAGAAAATTCCAAGAGCTCTACAAGAAAACTTCTAGAAATACTATGTGAATTCAGCAAGGCGGCAGGATACAAAATAAATATTCAAAAAATCAATTTCACTTCTTTGTACTAACAATGAACACCAAAATTAAAAATATACCAATTACAGTCATTCAAAAAAATGAAATACTTATATGTAAATCTAACACTATAGTACTATATTGTATTTGCATTTGTATGCCAAAAACTACAAAATGTTAATTAAAGAAATCAAAGAAGATCTAAATATATGGAGAGACATACTGTGTTCATGGACTGGAAGACACAAGATAGTAAAGGTGTTGCTTCTTAAATTCATATACAGCTGAGGGGTGCCTGGGTGGCTCAGCTGGTTAAGCATCTGCCTTCGGCTCAGGTCATGATCTCAGGGTCCTGGGATCGAGCCCCGCATTGGGCTCCCTGCTCGGCAGGAAGCCTGCTTCTCCCTCTGCCACTCCCCCTGCTTGTGTTCCCTCTCTTGCTGTCTCTCTCTGTCAAATAAATAAAATCTTTAAAAAAAAAATTCATATACAGTTGACCCTTGAACAACACAGGTGTTAGGGATGCTGACTCCTCACACTGTCAAAAATCCACATACAGCTTTTGACTTTCCAAAAACTTAACCACTAATAGCTTACTGTTGATTGGAAGCCTAACCTGTAACAAAAACAGTCTATTAACACATATTTTCTATGCTACATGTATTATATACTATATCATTACAATACAGTAAGTTGGAGAAAAGAAAATGTTATTAAGAAAATCATAAAGAAAACAAAATACATTTAGAGCACTATACTATATTTATCCAAAAAAAATGTGTATAACTAGATGTGAGCTGTTCAAACCCATGTTGTTCAAGGGTCAACTGTATAGGTTTAAACTAATTTCCAGAAGCTTTGCAATTACAGGCAAGATTATTCTTTATTTATGTGAAAAGGCAAAGGAACTACAATATTAAAAAAACTAATTTTCTAAAAGAATAATAATGGGGGAGAAATCAGTCTACCCAATTTCAAGACTTATTGTGTAGCTACAATAAACAAAACTGTGCAGTGTTGGTGGAGTGATAGACACACAGATTAACAGAACAGGGTAAAAACCTAGAAAGAGACCCATACAAATTTGGCCAGCTGACTTTTGACGAAGGTGAAAAACAATTTAACGAAGAAAGGATAGCCTTTCAACCCATGGTGCTGGAGCAATTGGACATCTATAGGAAAATAACTAAATAAAAACCTTGGCCTAAACCTCTCATCTTATATAAAAATTAATCCAAAATGGATGATGGATTTAAATGTAAAATCTAAAACTATGCTACCTTTTCAATGTTAGGAAAAAAACAGGAGAAAATCTTTGGGATTGAGATCTAAGTAGAGTTCTTAGACATGACACCAAAAATACAATCTATAAGAGGGAACATTGATAAACTGGGCTTCATCAAACTGAAAACTTTTGCCCTGCAAAAAACTATAAAGAGGATAAAAAGACAAGCTACATACTGGAAGAAAATATTTGTAAATTACATGTTTGACAAAGGACTGGTAAGGGTATATTAAGAACTCTAAAAACTCAACAGTTAAAAAACAAGCCATTCAATTAGAAAATGGGTAAAAGACATGAAGATGTTTGTCCTTGACATAGTAGTCGTTTGCAGAAGACTTGAATTTAAAGACTATAAAAATGATATATAGATATGAACTTCACACGCTGGACAAGAAACTAAAAAAATAAACAGGCTGTACTTTGGAATTCCTAGTCATGATATTATTTAGGACTAAATAATTCAGAATGTTTAGGTGCTAAACTAATAAACTGTAGGTCAACTTCTGTGGGTAGAGCTGGGGTCTTCACCATATGGCATTCTCAATGTCAATCCCAGGAACGGTCTGAACTAGAAATGTGGGGGACTCTGGGGAATGAGACTTTTACTGGAGAGATGAAAACCTCTCTTCTCCTTGGAGGCCTCTTGGGAGTATTTCAACATTCCCAGACTGAGCTAGTGAGTAAGAAATGCCTTTAGCCACCCTTAGATATGGCTGTCCTAGAAGCCATATTGTAGACACAAGTTATTCTGTGTGATACTTCCCAATATCGCTCTGGTCCACTCCCATGTTGGATGAAATTTTGTGGGAATTTCAGCCTGGTCTCTGATGTGTAGAATTTGAAGAGGAACTGGTTTCTGCTTTGCCCTGAGTAGCTAAGGGTACAGAAGGGACCCCTGCCACCCAAAACCAGGTCAGAAAGATGGTTAAACATCTTTGAGTGTCAACTTCACAAGGGTCACTGAAAACAGAGGCAACGGGCAGTGGCTTTGCCCAAATGAAAGAACATACAAGACCTGCTCCATCCTGCATATCCTTTGGAACATAGGGAAAGTTGGTGGAACATTTGAGAGAGGTGCTAATTTTGAGCAATCAGGCTGCTCTGTGAGACGAGCTCAGATCACTTGGGTATTTAGAGGAAATAAGATAATATTTTGTAGTCATTGGTTGTTGAGGCTGGTACATTTGGGTTTTACTAAGTTAGAGAAAAGCTCAATTTCCCCTTTTCAATAACACAATGTCTTTTCATTAGAAGCCTGAAATAGCAGGGTTTTTCTCTGCTCTTCCATTCCTTTGGAACCCTACTCATAATTAGCTTCCCACAACTCCTAGGTTTCTTCCACCATTACTCATCATCCTGGTCTATTTGTGTTACAGATTATGATTCTCAACCTCCATTGGCTTCACCAAGGTTAGTACCATTTTGTTATTTTAAGTCTATATTGCTAATCTTTGGGGAACATACCTACTTTTCCCTTATTACTATATTTAGTACCTTCAAATTAATCTGATATATTCACAGAGGTTCTTAATCTGAGGTCTTGTGGCTATGGAGATGCATGGATAAAATTCAAGCTGTCTGTGAGTTTGGACAGGAAAAAAAGTCACATCTTTATTTTCATTAACCTCTAACCCTAGTTGAGCATTTCCTTCTTTTATTAATGTAAGCAACAAATTACAATGAAATAAATGGAACATAAAATCTACTTTTATATTGAATTCTAATTGTTTCAGGTATCTCAAAATTCACTTATGTTCATCACTAGTTAAAATTATGATTGTTATTAGATGTGCCACTAGATCTTGTTATTTAATATGTCATATATGAGTATATCACACAAAATATAAAACACATATATTACATCATAAATTTAAAAAATATTTTGATAACTCTTTCAATCAATATAATTGGTTTCTTCTTAACCCTATGTATTTATGTAAAAACAAACAAAGAAAACAAACCACCAACCTTATTCTGAGAAAGGATCCATAGGCTTAACTGTCCAAGGGAATAACAGCACTAGAATGATTCAAAATTCTTGGAAGAGCCAAATGTCTCTACAACACAATGGCAAAAAGATTAAAAGCAACCTAAATGCTCAATGACAGAAGATTGGTGAAATAAATTATGATGTATATTTAGAGTAGAATATTATGCAGTCACTCAACAACGCTATAGAACACTGTTTAGTGGCATACATAGGTATATATCACAATGTTTTATAAAAGAAAAAGTTGTACATGATTATTTTTTGTAAATCAAACACACATATACATATACTTACAATACACATATATAAAAAATGGGTGTCAAGATACAGAAAAATGCTAACGCTTATTTACAAATGGTGTGTAATAATTTTTACTCAACTCATTTCTGAAAATTTTCTATCAGATTTTCTATTTTTTGCAAGAAAAAGAAAAATTATTATCTTTAAAGAAATGAAGTCCTAAGAAATGATCCAAAGGAAATGTCATTCCTACCCCTGATCACCTATACATTCATTCATTCAACACATAAACTTCAGCTCAGTGGTTAATGTTATAGGATGAAGTAATATTATCTACAAGATCCACTATCATTATGGAAAAACATTTACTGATTTTCATACAAATAATTTTGCAGCTGAACCAGTAAAAAAGTTAATTAAGTATGATTTATCAATTTTCTAGGCTATGGGACCCAAAGTCAAATCTGTCTTTAGCACAAGTATCGGATATTCATTCCTTTCAAAATTGTGTCCCACCAACCAATAATAATTTTGTCTTCAGAAAGTCCTTTCCGTCTTTTTTATTTTTGCTGATTTGTGTTTTTGCTTTTTGAGTGTCCTGTAACAAATAACATAAATTTAGTTTTCCATCATACAAATCCTATTAAAAAATAAGCATATTTTATAACAACATATGTTTCTGAATTCACATTCCCCACAACAAAAACTTCTATTTCCTCTATAACTGTGCCATACTTTACAATTTTTAATAATTCTGAATCTTATACTGGAAAAGATATTCACTGTTATTTTACTATATCTAGGTATTAGGAATTCCAAATGCTACTGAGATAAACATGACCATCAGACTCCTTATATGCTAACCTTTTGCTAACATGTTATATGCTAACATTAGCTGGAAAAAATATACTAAGTTTTAAAAATGCTCCTAACTAAAGGTTTATGACTTTAAAATACAACTCTTCTAAAATTAGACATTCAGCTAATATGCAAGATGTGACTATAAAGTAATTGGCCTGATATTATTGTTTTTGTTCATAAAAACACCAGAAATTACATAAGACAGGATGTCATCCCCTCTGAGTAGTCACCTACAGGCTAACTTGAATGACACTTACCTTTGCCCAGAACAATATCAGGACCTTTCTTTTGGACTTGTCTTTAGTCTGTTCCTTTTTATTTTAAACATATGTCTTCATAGGCAGCCAAATTTTGTCCTTTTGAGTTGGATTTGATCTTCATCGATAGCTAAAAGTAATCTAGAATAGGATTGGGGCCTTGGATGTACCAGGTAGAATGAAGTAGATATGAAAGAAGGATTGAGGAAAATGCAGGATGACACTCCATGTGAGGGGTGATACTCAAAGTACTCAACAAAAGGTATGAGAGGACAGAGACCAATCAAAACAGATGTCACTGGAGCAAGGTCCTGGAGAACACTGACCAAGATCCAGGTATTAATTTTTTAGTTGCTGGGTTGTGAGGTGTTCTAAAGAGTCCTAGAAGACAAACTGTAGCATTGGGGATAGGTGGGCATATGGGGGTTTCTGAGCTGTGGCATTTACCAAACAATAAAGGAGATTTGAAGTATTTTAATATCCACTATTAGTCCTTCCCAAAAGTGAAGAGGCCAGTGCTGTTTATGTGTAGCTCAGGCATTGACTCTGAAGGTATTGCCCAAGAGTTGTTTGAAGGTGTTGAGAGCAATAATATTGGGATAAATGTACAGGAAGCCAGGGTAACTATTTTGAAGGGCATTGCTTATCTGAATATTTAGATTCTTTAAACTCATTTAGAACAGGCACCATGCCTATTTCATTTTTCTCCCTAGCTCCTAACATAATGCTTGGCATATAGTGGTTGCTTAATAAATATTTGTTGAATGAATGGTATGTTTGTTAAAGAAAAAATAACTTCAAAGTAAAATCTCATATTTAGGGCCTTTTAAAATTTTTATTTTTTAAGGCTGTAAACTCTTCATTCTATTGGAGATAATTCTAAAAATCTCTTTAAAGAGAGAAATCTACCAATATTTATTTCTGACTCAAAATACTTTGGATAGCTGCCTACTTCTCTCTGGAAAGCAGTCCTTTTCAATGCTGTTTTCATTATCACGACTTAAAAAGCCACACGTCGATGAGAATCTGTCTCTAACTCCTTGAAGTTCCTATTATTTCTATTCACAAAGAATCTTCCTTTTAGCAGGTAGGACTTGAGGCTTTCTCAAGGCTCGAGCTGCTATACCGTGACTGTCGTCAAATATTTATCAGGCTATGGGTGTCTCGTACTATGCATCATACATCATTTACTTCTCCTAACATCACAGATCAGAAAACTGTCCCAGAAGAGCTAAGCAACTTCCCCAGATTTGCACAGCTAGTAAGTGGTGAAAATATGTTCTGAATTCAGGCTCCAGAACTGAGCACCCTTAACCAACACAGTATAATAAGGAACAAGAGCTTGTTTATCTTATATAGACAGGATAGAAATTGAAGGATTTCCCATACCTAAGAAGTACCTCATTACATTGACTCTCAAAAACTAGGTTTCAGGGGCACCTGGGTCTCAGTCGGTTAAGCGACTGCCTTCGGCTCAGGTCATGATCCCAGGGTCCTGGGATCGAGTCCCACATCAGGCTCCTTGCTTAGTGGGGAGCCTGCTTCTCCCTCCTGCTCTGCCTGCCACACCCCCTGCTTGTGGGTGCTCTCTCTGTCAAATAAGTAAATAAAATATTAAAAACAAAACAAAACAAAAAAACAAAAAACAAAAAACTAGGTTTCAGAGGGAGATTTCATTTTACATTCATTTTACAAGTGATACTGAACACATATGATGTTGAGGCACTGTTCTAGGTTCTGGGAGGACAGGTGAGAGATCCATGATCTCTTACTGTTTTGTAAACATAGTGCCTAGAAATTTACTCAAGTCTTCTATGGCTACTTTTTTCATTACTCCTAGTGAGAGGAAAAAAACTGAACCCCTGTGTTCAGTCTGAATTTTGGATCCTAAGCAGTCATCATCCTTGATGAATTGCATAATAGACATATCTCTAGAAGGGAGGACATCTACTATTTTCTTCCTTTGGCTTCCCTGGGGGAATATCTGATCACCTTTGACATCCTGTCCTTATAAGGAGAACAACAGAGGGAGGGGGAAGGCGGAGGTTACATGTGAAACACGTAAACTACTTGGAACACAGGTATCATCTAAACATTCCATTAATGCGGGCAGCATTTCTCTGTCACTGCAGGATTACCTGTATAATGCTGGTATTCAGAGCAAGTTCCCTACAGGCTAATGCTTTCATATACAAATTTTAGGCTTTAGGAGGCATTTCAAGTTATACAGTGGCTTCATGTATTATCATAATTTGGAAGAGTAGAAACATTAACTGAACTTTGTACCTTCCTTGAATGATTAAGTTGTACTTTAAAGGGAGGTTAATAAATAACCAAAGAGAGGGATACTAAAGAACTAAACCTGGAATAGTAAACTGTACTAAATGCCCCCAAGCAAGCTGAGAAATACAAGAAAATACTTTTTCACCATAAATCGTCTTAACATATGCCGAAAGATTGGTCTGCTGTAAGTGGAGTTGGTGACTCCACTCTGCCCTGTTAAGATTTCAAGGTAAAATAAGGGTTCCTGATAACAGCAATAACAAAACAACAAAGAATTTTTCCCTAAAACCCCAAATTCTCAATATTAGAGTCATTCTAATGTTCTCAATTATTTATTTTTATTTTTTTCTTCTTATTGTATGATACATGGCCTCAAATTTCCTTTTTGGAACAAAGTACAATATAAACTTTTAAAAAGAAGCAAACAAACAAATACATAGATAAATCATACTCAGGAGAGTCCTTTCTTTCACCTAAAGATTTGATCTGTGGTAAACTACAAATTTCTTTGGGAGAGATCATGTTTTAAACGATGTTATCAATATGATAAGAAAGAGTACTTGAGTCTTAAGAGCAGATTTTGCGAGAAAATAAAAAGTGAGATCTGCCAACCTTTTCTGAGAGATAAATGTGCCAAAAGTTTCCCTTGTTCTAATTTTGGCCCAAGAACAAGCATGTGGGACGTTTCTGCATTTGGACTGAAAGTGCTTTCCACAAGTTAGACGATCTGTATGGCACTTGGCATAAGGCTGCCTCCCTCAAGAGTAACTACAACCTTCCCATGCATAAGATGCTTAATACAGACCTTAGCAGAATCTTGAAAAGTCCAGAGATCCAAAGAGCCCTCCGAGCACCATGCAAGAAGATTCATCTCAGAGTCCTGAAGAAGAATCCACTGAAGAACCTGAGAATCATGTTGAAGCTAAATCCATATGCAAAGACCATGAGCCAGAATACCATTCTTTGCCAGGCCAAGAATCACAAACTCCGAATGGATAAGGCAGCAGCAGCCTTAGAAGCCAAATCAGATGAGAAGGGGGTTCCAGGCAAGAAGCCTGTGGTGGGGAAGAAAGGAAAAAAGGCTGTTGGTGTGAAGAAGCAGAAGAAACCTGTGGTGGGGAGAAAGGTTGCAGCTACCAAGAAACCAGCAGCTGACAAGAAACCTGCAGAAAAGAAACCTACTGCCTAAAAACTTATGTTTATTCTATAAAAGTCAAATCACTTTGGACAGCTAATTTTGAATAAAGACCTGTGAGACCAGTGAGAAAAGAAAAACAAAAACTGAGCACCAAAATCTTTGTCTCCCAAAAGTAAAATGCTCAGGTATCTCCACCTTCTATGTTCTGGGAGATAAATCACATTTAAATCTCAAATTTAAAAGAAACTTCTCCCTTGCACTCTTTTATTATATTCCAAGGCAAATAATCAAGTTAACTATCCGGTAGTCACATAACCCATAAGAATAAAATGTTAAAGGATTTTTGTCAAAGGGATTACAGAAAACCAGTCCTTTTACCTCATGGATTGTTTCTGATTTTCTGGTCCTTTAAACTTTCTCCTCCCCTATGTTAAGTCAAATCATCAGATCAATAATACATGATGCTCGAACCTTGAGATTTCAGGCTCAGGAATGATAATGGCACAAGCAAAATAGGCATTACAACACAAAATTGTGCTTTGCGGAAACTATGGCGTAATAACCTGAAAAAATAGTTCAAGTCATAAATATGTAGTGCACTGACCTCCCGGAGAGAATTGTGTCCATAGGTCCGGGAACGATGTCTGTTGTCCAACACCCTCACCCCACGTCTGAGCCCTTGTGCTCTGTGTGGTTTTTCTCTCAGGGGTCATTATTGGGTTTCATAATGATTAGTTTGTGTATGAAAAAGGAAAGCTCAAGACTATAATTTCATACATACTTAAAAAAAAAAGCATATAAAGAAAATGTGACCAAGAGTATACCTGTGAGAAGGCTGAGCTGATGAATGAGTGTCTCAGCATGTATGGGGACAAACCACAGAGGGGAAAGCTTTGTGTCCCTCTAGCTTAGGAATCCCTGCTCTCCCGGTTCCCCCTTCAGACACAAGGAGAGTACCCACAGAGAAATAGAGAGCAGCTGTTAAAGCCAATGAGTACTGGGGCTACCAGAGTCAGAAATTTAGTGACAAAAATAGGGGGGATATTTCTTTTCATTTTGGCAACCACATACTTACAGAGATATTTCTCAGTAAAGGCCTACGTGAAGGGTAGATTGAAGAAAAGTGGAGGTGAAAGCAAGGCCCAGAGGTAAAAAGTGCAGCAGGCAGAGAGGACTTGGAGGAGGAGTTAAAGCCACATGAGGAGTGAGGGAGGCAGTGCACATACCTGGGGAGCAGTTCTTCAGCCTCTCACCTGCAAAGTCTCCTTTCACTACAGATTCTCAAGTCCTCTCCCCTGAAGAGGAAGCCTAGGCTGGAGAAGAGAAAAATCTGGCTTAAAATCCTGGGTTAGCCCCTCACTGTCTGTGGGACCCTGAGCCAGTGACTTCATAGCTCTGCGCCTTCATTTCCTCATCTGTGAAGAGGAATAACTAGAGGAGAGCTGGTCCATGAAAACACCTGCAACATTGCGTGGCACATGGCTCAATAAATGTGAGATTTTATTACATTCTTATCAACAGTCATGTCAACATAACTTCCCTTTTAAAAAAAAGTGTTCAACACACGTCCCATCCCCTCCAGTTGTACTTAAGATTTAACAAAAACATAGGTAACTTCCTCACTTTCCCTTCCTTTGGTGAAATAAATTAAGGAGTTTTCTATATTTCTATATTTTTATTTGTATTCATCTCTGTATTCCTCTACATACAAAAAGTAAATTCTTCAAAACAATAGCATGAGCTAATGCAACAGCCTTCTAGCTAGTCTTCCTCATTCCACTCTTACCTACCTGTGGTCCATTCTATACACAGAGCCTGAGTTATCTTTGTAAAATACTTTGTAAAAGGATATCACTCCCTGATTAGAACCTATGACACTTAGAATAAACTCAGATTCCTACCTGTGAGATCCTGCCTTATCTGGCCCTTGCCTTATTTCTAACTGTCTTTTATACCCCCCCCCCAAGTTTTCATTACAATGGTAGTACACTGGCCTCTCAATTCCCCAGCTTATTCTGGCCTCAGGGCCTTTGCACTGGTTATTGTCTCTCCTTAGAGCTCTCCTCTCACAGCTGCTCCCAGTGACCAAGTCTTATTTCAAATATTACCTCCTTCTCCAAACTATCCCATCTAAAGAAGGATGCCCCAACAATTCTCTAGTCCCATTTAATTTTCTTTACAGCACTTGTCACTAGATGAATTTTTTATGTATTTATATGCAAGTTTATCATCTCTTTCTCCTTATCAAAGCATCGCATCATGAGAGCAGGGGTCTTGTTATACCTAGCATTGTGCCTGAAGTAAATTGTTAGCTCCCACTAGGCTTTTGTTGAACATATGAATGAATAATATGCAAATAGGGCCTACATGCTAAAAGAAGAAAAGGGAAATGTGTTTATGAGAATATATTTCTAACGAGTTGAATGGCTCAAAGGATATTAGGAAAATAATATCTCAGGGATTAGACCTTCAAAAAATTTCGAGAAATGTTTATATATTCAATTGATCGATGGCTTCAGTCTAGTTTCTTATGCTGGTAATTCAGGGCCTAGCCTCCTGTCAACAGTCAAAGCCTTTTAGATAATCTATACAGAGAAGCGTGGGATAGAAACTCAACAAAGACAACAGTCCAGATCAGAACTGCAGATTCTAAAAAAAAGTAAGAGGACCTTTGGGGTGTTCTGTAATTCTGCCTGATAATTCTATTGCTAAGATAGTCACTCAAGCTATAACAGAATGAAACATTCATGAAAATAAAAAAATCATTTCAAAGTAACAAAAGGTCCAATGAAAGTCCTCTTTCACAGAAATAAACATATATTTAACATCATTTTAAGAGTCATTGATCTTATAAATAAAAAATTGTAGCACAAACATGGTATCTGTTTGGCAAGTTTACTTATGCATATTTCATAATTAGGCCCATGACTTCTTTTCCTCATGTGAGGCTAATTTCTTTTGCAAGCTCAAAGCAAATCTTGTTTTAAAAACAGTTCAATGCTCTCAGTTTGTGTTGATGTTCAGATAACTGGTTGTTTCGGACATAACTTTTAAACAGACAGTAATAAAGCACATGATATTAAGTGGATATTCAAATATCGATGCCATAACAAAATGCTATTTCTTTACGATTTTTAGAAAATCCTTCATCACAGATCCCCTTGATAATCTGGACACCCAACTCTGTTAATATAGCTCCACCTTCACTTTTATAGAGGCACCGGCACACTAATTGTTATTTGAGGTTTGGACCAATCCATGCTATCTGGTTTCACCTAAATTCAAAGAAGCAGTTCTCCTTCATTCAATACAACTGACGCTTACAAAACTTCCAGTGACATATTTATTCAGGTTAAACACTTCAAGTTATAAATTTCATCACATTTGCTTCAGTATCTTTTCAACAGATATCATTTCCATTCTAATATTTCCATCCAACATACTCCTTTTTCTAGAGAGTATCTTATGTAATGGGTCCTATGTTGTGTAAAGTTGAGAAATATAACATCTATGCTGTTATTCAAATAGCTGATAACTTATTTTTCAACAGTGATGGCAGAAACCACAGTGCTAGTGCTTCTTAATGATTCTGCTTAGAAATAGCTAAGGTCACCCCTCACTTTTCATTGGCCACAGCAAGACACATAGCCAAGACTGACAATGATGGGGTGGAAAGTTTTGAAAATTAGGGTCATATGTACCTTTCTCCATTCTTTTGAATTTTTTCCCTGTTCTCCAAAATTTCTCAAAGAATATGGTAGTACTATGATCATATCATTTAGATTGTGTACTGCCTAAAATGCAATTTGTCATGATCTGGGGTTTGAATTCATCTAAAATATTTGTTATCATGAGACTCCTCTCATTGTTTATATCAATAACCTCTTAATGTAATGATCTCTCAGTGTTGTCAGCTTAAAGATCATTCTTCTTGGTATAGGCAGAAGAAAAGCGGATGTGTAGTGTTTTCTTTTAACATGATACCATCATTCTCAAGCAATGGACATATAATTTTCATCTATCTATTGCTCTGAAAATAGCACTAAAAATTGCTGCTGCTGTCTCTAGTGGTTTTTGTGAGCCTCAGCTAATCTTTGCCGTTAACTCTCTTGAAATTCTTATCCTAGTCCTTTGTATTCCCCTTAGTTATAGTTTCTCTCATGCACAATTTACATAGATATCTTCCAGCTTTATTAGACAGCTTCTCTTACCTGCAAATATGCCAGGTTTTCTACCTGCTTCCCCGTTTTCTTTCCATTGAGAATATATTAAATTGTGTGACCAGAATTTCATAATTCAGCATTCTTCATCACCATAGAATTATATTAATTTTTTGAGTCTTTTTTTGAAAATGTCTTTATTTTTTAAGAAAATATTTCATCAGCTTTTATTTGATAATCCAACTTTATTCTATCCTCACGGGGTTTTTTTAATTTTATTTTCATCATGATAAGTGTACTCTTTAATCCCCATCCCCTCTTTTCCCCATTCCCCTACCCACATCTCCTCTGGTAACCAACAGTTATTCTCTACAGTTAAGAGTCTGTTTCTGGGTTTCTCTCTCTCTCTCCCTTTTTCCTTTGCTCATCTGTTTTGTTTCTTAAATTCCACATATGAGTGAGATCTTATGGTATTTGTCTTTCTCTGACTGACTTATTTCACTTAACATTATACTCTCTAGCTCTATCTGTGTTGTTGCAAATGGTATATATATATATACCACTTCTTCTTTATCCATTCATCTATTGAGGGACACTTGGGCTGTTTCCGTAGTTTGACTAATGTGAATGATGCTGAAATAAACATAGGGGTGCATATATCCCTTTGAATTACTGTTTTTGTATTTTTTATGTGCAATTTCTGGATCATAGTGTAGTTCTATTTTTAATTTTTTTGAGGAGGTTTATTTTTTTTGATGGCATGATTATAAGAAGCAATATAGCATAAAGGTTAAGAATTCAGTCTCTGGAGATGAAATTTGAATCTTGGTTGGGTTTGAGTTTTTTTTTTTTTTACTCATTTTTTAAAACTAAGATCAGCAAATTCCTAGGTAGAAAGCAGACAAAACCCTATAGATAAGTGAAATGGAGCACAGGAGGCTGCAGCATAGAACAGAAGGGGACCACAGTGAAGGGCAGAGCCTAACTTCAATGGGACTTTGGAAAGGCTCCTAGCTCAGACTGAGCAGGTATACTGGGGGACAGTAGAAATAGGGGCTCATTGAAAGTCCTTCAGTAAAATAGCTGCATTAGTTCTCTCTCTCTCTCTCTCTCTCACACACACACACACATGTGTGCGCACACACACGTAACACACCCCAGGATCTCTGCATGCAGAATAAATGGAAATCCAGTGTTCGTTCCTCCAAGATAAAAACTGCGCAGGCACCTAAAGGAATTGAGTAAGCTTCCTGGGAAAAGTACAGGCTGCTAGTGTGAGCTCTGGTTTACCATACCCACTCACCCTTAGGCAAATCCTCCAGATAATAAGCTCTACCTACATACAAAGAGCCTTTAATTCAGGGAAGAGACGTCTTGGGGAAAGAAACTGCCAAGAAAACCTGCAACCCTAACCTGGAATAATCAACCTAAACAAGAGTAAGAATAAGCCTAAATAAGAATAAGCCAGGACTACCAGACAGATGAGGAAGACTAACAGCATTAAAGAGGAAGATCAAGATAAAATCAGCTGTAGACTTCAGTAGAATATAGTGGAAGTGCAAGAAAATGAAGAAATCCATTTTTTTTAAATTCTAATTAGAATACTCAGAAGTTTTTTTTAAAGATTTATTTATTTATTTTAGAGAGAGGGGATTGGGGGGCAGAGGGAAAGAGAAAATCTCAAGCAGACTTCCCCACCAAGTGCGGAGCCTGACGCGGGGCTTGATCCCACGACCCTGAGATCATGACCTGAGCCAAAATCAAGAGTCCAAAGCTTAATCAACTGAGCCACTCAGGCACCCCAAAAATCCTCAAGAGTTTTTAAATGATGTTGTAACCTTCAAAACAAGAACAAGAATCTATAAAAACGGGATAGATCACAGTAAGAACCAGCTCTTAAAATTTTTTTAAATGCAAAACTCAAAAATTCATAAAAGAGCAGTAAAATTTTTAAAATATCATAACACAGAATGAAAAAATACAAAGAAGAAACACATGACAGAGAATATAAGAGTCACAAAGTATCAATCCACAAAGTTCAATGTTCAACCCATTGGGGGTCCAGAAGGAAAACAAAGAAAATAAAGGAAAGTAAATTAAAAAAAAAAAGGAATAAAATGCAGAAAGACACAAGCCATAACATTGAAAGGACC